TCATGCTGCATGCTCGCTCTTCTAACGTTTTTCTCGCTCCCGCTTTATGAAACAAATCGGTGGCGAGCGGCTGTTAGGACAAGACGTCGCAACTAGCATGACCTGTGATTAACACTTTGGGACGGCGACTGAATCCTTGAACTGCCGTCGGACGGCACTTGAACGCTCCGCACAAGCGTCGTCAGACGAGCGCCGCACGACGGCGCAAAGAACATGCCCACGGTTCCGCCGCGCGGGAATCTTTCTCACACTGCGGAGCGAGCCACAGGTTTTGAAGAAGATACGCTCTTTTCAAATAACGAAATAACACAGGGTAGAAGCATAGTTAGAATCAAGCATAGCTTAGCAAGCGCACGGTGCACGACAATGTTTGAAACAGCAGCCGACTTCGCAGAAACAAAAGAAAGTTGCTAACCAGCGTTTGCACGAGTCGTGCATGGGCGGTTCTGAACTTACGGGCGTTGGCAAGACGCAGCGTCTTCCAGCTCTCAGTCATCGATTGTTATCCTTGAACACGGTATTCCTAAGGAAGATATTTAAAATATCCCCTAAAACGGCTAAAACGTGAAAAAAGGAGATTTCCGAAGCCTCTGGTACTTCAGCAACCATTCAACCATAGAGATCATACACTAACTCTAGAGGAAAAGGTCCGCCATTTTCCCATGCATTCTGGCTGCCGCAAGCGGCGGAGTAAGCAGGCAGACCCTCTGGGTCCCACATGGTTACCAACTGCCTTCGAGTTCACAAATATATCATCAGAGCAGTGTCATGAACTTCAACAATCCACGAACTTACCGGTGGAAAGATATTCGCGTTCCTTTCGAAGCTTTCTTTTGAATAGCGCGCACATCTACGGCCTCGAGTCAACGCTAAACTAAACCAGATACCCGGCTTCGCCAGTGGGGCGCGGGGGGGCGCGGTTGAGGAATACGAAACCGCGCAACCACCAGATTTCGGAGATTTCGATAGAAGGGAAGTTAATGCAGCGTAATGACTATATTGCTTTTTATAAGCGTTAAAATAGCTCAGAATTTAGTTTACAACGTTAAATTATCACTGTTTATATTGCTGAGAGTTTTCAGTCTTCGCGTTTACCATTGCGACTGTCGTCCTTCAGCTGGCAACGTTGCTTTCTTTCTCTCGTGTTCTGTTGCTCTCTTTCGCGATCGTTCACTCGGGACCCAGGATGTCGGCGCACGGGATTTGCCACTCCTCCTCACCCACCTTTCCCCCCCTGCTTTCAACCGAGCCCAACGGAACCTGATTGCGATAGCGATGGTCTTGCGCAGTCTTCAAGAGTCTCTTTTCCTTTTTAATTATTGTTATTTTTTTAGAACAATACTAAGCAAAATATTATTATATTAGTAACAATAAGAATTTCACTAAAATAATAATGTAAAACATTACAAAACGTGAGTAAATCTTAGGTTTTATTTAAACTTTAGGTTGTTTCTTTCTTGTGAAAACCGAAACCGAAACTAACTTAAGCAACGTTTCTTTCGTCATAATTCTTTGTGTGTGTGTGTGTGTGTGTGTGTGTGTGTGCATGCGCGTGCGTGTGTTTGTGCGCGCGCGTGTGGATGCGTCCGCGTGCATGCGCGTGTGCGTTTCTGGTTTTGCATCCGTGTGCGTGTGCGCGCGGGCGTGGGTTTGCGCGTGTGCATGCGTGTGTACGTGCGCGCGCGCGTCTATGTGTGCGACTGCGAGCGCGCAAGCGTCTGTTTGTGCGTTCTATTGCACTGCGCCCGGAAGAAGAACAATTAGATGTCCAGGGACACTGTTAAAACACTAACATATTGATTATTATTATTATTATTATTATTATTATTATTATTATTATTATTGTTGTTGTTGTTGTTATTGAAACATAGCCCTGAGACTTCAGACACAGGGCCCTAAACTTTTCTATAGCTGGCTGTAGCTGTATCTATAAATTTTTGAGGCCAACAATGCAAAGCTACAGGGGATGATAGCCCCCATTGAATTTCCCATAGACGACCATTGGCCATTTTTTATGGGATGTCTCGGACTGGTTTATTATGGGATTTGCCTCTTTATGTGTGTGAGTTTTTGTGCATGTCACCATATTCTCAAATGACTATTTTACTCGGGTTGACATGGTCATGGGACAGCTTCGAGCAGCATGTCATGAATATTTGTCAAACACTTTCACAATATTTTAATTTCATGTTGCCAGATATAAACTCGAGACTAACTGATTTTATTACTGTACACTTCCATCAATAAATATTTGTAAAAAATGCTAGCATAGAGCATTTCACCCTACTTTCCGATTTCTGAGCATGGAGTGATTGGTAAGAAAATTAAATATGAAATCATATATAAAATGTTGTTTCAAACATAAAAATTGTATGCAAAAGAGGCACTTTATTATTAGCTATTTGCATGAATTACAACTGACATTATAAGAAACTAGACTGCTAACAACTGTTGCTTTTCAAGCAGAAATCTTACCTGTACATTATGTACAGAGCCATATATAAGCTTTCCAAAACCATTCACATTATTTATTCAGCACCCTCTTCTACACCCTTCTGACATTCTTCACTAAATGTAGGGTGTAACACGAAACAGCACCTTTTTCGGTAAAATTATGAGGTTGTATTCCTAGTTTTTAGTGTGTTAAAAGGGTGTAGCCGAGGGTGTAAGTTGCTACAACACCCATTTTACACCCTTAAAGGTGTAAAAACTTTTACTGTGTAGTATGGCCGAGCATCACTGGCGTCAATCACCACGATAGCGTCAATAGCGTCACGGCGTTGCCCACCACCCTCCAACAACCACGTTGTTAACAACAAAACCAGTGTTCTGCACATCTAGGTCGAGATGTTCATTTTCTTTTTCTTTTACGCGTGGTTCGATTTTGAACCTTTTCGTTCTGGTTTTAACCGAAGCTGGTAGCTTTCTTTGACTCAGGAAATCAGTATCCTAGCACCTATATGAAACATTACTGAGACTAGCTTAAGTTTAATCAATATATGAGAGACGTCTTGTTTAGGCTCTTCCAAAACAGAAAGCCTGACATATCCAATCTTATCCGATTCAAGCACAAGCTGATCGGGGTGCGTGGCTAGCGTGGCGGTTTACTAAGCTGAGTGCATTGATACACCTATAGGCTTTTAAGATAAAGAAGGGGGCTTATGGTCGGTATACAGGTACACTGGCTGGGTAACGGAGGGTGCGTCTTCCAGGAAAGGGGAGGATGTGCGCCCGATGCACCTGACTACAACTTTTTTTTCTTCGAGTGCAGTTGGGAAGTAAATATGTCGAGCACTAACCGAAAAATCGCGGATGTGGTATTCGCGCTAAGAGGGCCGCGCAGCGACAGAGCGGTATTGTTAGCGCGAAGATGACGTTGGTGCTGCTTTCGTATTTTATTTTCATAGAACAACGACGGGCACAATATTTTCCCACTTCTAGTAATGTTCCAAATGAACATATCGCACGACAGTGCTAGTTAAGACAATAGCCTTTCAAGTCTAATAAAAAAAAAACTGAATAAAACGGTGATCGTTTGCTTGTGCTAACAGTGTTCGCGCGATGCACGCACTAATATCCTGCCAACCACTCGCTCATGATGCTTCTCTCGCTGCCCGTCGTTATGCCAAAGTTTCGACAACGCGATGAAAGTTTAGATTATGAGGCGAAACTGAAAATCAGCACTTTTTGCCGAACACTTGTCGACCATGTTTATGTCCACGGCGGCCAAGCTGAGAATCAGCTCTTCTGACCAAACACTCGCCGGCCGTGTTTATGTTTCCGGCGGCCAAGCTGAAAATCAGCACTGCTGCTCAAACACTTGCCGGCCGTGTTTATGTCTCCGGCGGCCAAGCTGAAAATCAGCACTGCTGGCCAAACACTCGCCGGCCGTGTTTATATATCCGGCGGCCATGCTGAAAATTAGCACTTGTGGCCAAACACTTCCCGGCCGTGTTTATGTCCCCGGCGGCAAAGCTGAAAATCACCACTCCTGGCCACACACTTGCCGGCCGTGTTTATGTCTCCGGCGGCCAAGCTAAAAACAGCCAGTTTATGGCCGGACCCTTGCCGGCCTTGTTTATGTCTCCGGTGACCAAGCACTTAAAGTGGCCAAGCTGTCCAGACACTGGCCAACCGTCGGCCGATCGAAATTCACTTTCTGGTGCTGCTTGGGTAATTCTTAGTGTTAAAACTCCCATGCAATCTATTTAGGTCAGAATTAAAGTCAATTCGGCCTTGAACTATTTCCTTCGTTTATTTGCGTACATCCTAAGGATACCATTTGAAAGTGTTGAGAGGTACAGTTGGCACACGGTCACCTTTTTGTTCAGTGTATACATACCTTCCGTCTATCCACGACTGCCTGCAGTTTGGCAGCCTGCTTTCATGGCTATCGCTTACCGTGTGTTCGTTAAGGGAAGCTCGACTCGATCAATGTTGGAATACAAACCTAGCTGTTCCCGAGGACGTTTTTTCAATACCGCAGACGGTGGCGTTTCGAATCAATAGAAGGAGATAATCATATTTCCTTTGTACACGAGCAAACGTAGGAGGCGACTTTTTGGGGTAGTAGCATCGTCTAATTGCCGCTAAAACACCGGCTAGTTGTGATCATTTGCTGTGCCGTGCAATCGTTTATATAGGTACGTTAGTGTGACAAATATGCTGCCTTACTGCTCATACCTCTGTCAGAATGTTACACGCATAACTAGATATTGTAAAGTTTGTATATATAATCTGCGATGCTTGTTAGAATTCCAGTGAGGGTTCCCGCCCCCTGAGAGAAGCTAAAAATTCGCCACATTGCTCAAAGTGCTATCTGCGGTTTTTTAAACGTCAGACATGTCTAGCACCCGTTACTAATTCCGGAGTAAAATTCTGATTTGAACAAATCTCGGTAAGTCGAGCTCATCAATGACCCTTTAACGTTTGTCCCGTGAAGTAGTCTAGCTTCCAAGAGAGATTTATGTTTTATTATTATTTTTTTTCTCTGTAAACAGCGGCTTGGTTTCGCCACCTCTCGCCGGTTACATCGTCGAGCAAGTGGGGTACAGAACCGGAACAATGGCCCTTTTCGGTCTTTTTGCCGGCTGGGTAAGACGCTGTTGTTCTGTCAAAACGCAGACTCTCAGGGAAGTCAGGGTTTCTCGGTGTACGACGGGAGGTAGGAAAGTAGCGCCTCTGCATACCTCTTCTTTCTTCATAAAGTGATTCTAATGCATTGTTACCAGTCTCATGCAATGTACAATTCTGCACTAATATATAGTTGTTTTTTTATAAAGTTTACGTAATCTTGAAGGTAACTGCGAATGGTCGGTGACCATTGTAGCTATCGCAGCCATCATGAATCCGCCAAACTCCATTACAATATTTCTGATTTCGCTGACTTACAATTACTATAAGGAATAAACACTCCTTCTCTCGATATGCCGCCGTCTGATATTTAACGAAGAGTCGTCAAAGTGTGTATCTTGTCATTTACTTCGTTTAACGTTTCAAAAAACGAAACGGATCAAAAATGACAGAAGGGTCCCCTCGGATTTCAATTCTAAGATGACATTCAGGACTGTAGCAGCCATCACAACTAAACAAAATTGTCGCGCCCAGCCAAATAGAATTAGAAGTACCTTTTCATTCCTAATCGCACTACTAGAAAAACAGATTGACAATAATTTTGTTTGCGAAAACCAACGCCGATGAGAATCTTTATTGAAAGCGTCCAACTTGTTACCTAAATGTTCATTGCGATCCAATCAGTAGTCACATAGTCAAAGCCAGAGCCACTATCACTCGCTACAAATACCGCCGGATCAGCTATTCTATAAGCTGGTCAGCTTCTCACAAATGAAGCTAAATGGGCTAGATGAAGTCACATTCCCTTCTGAATGATAAAATTACTATCAACCCAAAATATCAAAGCAAAACGCACAAACATCACATACACACAAACGCATACACAGATACACATACACGCACACCCACAAAACACACACATCCACACGCGCGTACGCACATAAACACACAGACATACGCACATACGCATGCACACACATCGAATTTGTTTACCTCGTCGCAGGCTGACCCAATTGTAACAGGATGGCTGGTACCTGTTGTTAAACGATCTCTATTTTTTATTCATGAAAATTCCTCGACGCGTGTATGATACGTTTTGAAAAAACTCACAATATTTATAAAAAAACTAATGCTGTCAATAAAATTTTTTTAAACGTCATATGCAATACAATCATGATCTGGGATATGCCTTACGCAGTCGTGGTACTCGAGTCTTTGCATTTGCTTGGTAGCGTGCGGACCTCGCCCTCATCACGGCATTGTTAACTTGAGAACCCAATGCTAAAACAAACAAAAATGTAATACCAATTTATCTTAATTTGGCTTAACTCGCTACTACTTATTTTGCAAATAACACTTAGTATGACATATTATTAAATCTGAAGTTCACGCTAACAATAATATTTAAAGTTGAGGGCATCTCCCACTCAATGAACCACTTTTTTAATTCATTTGGGTTAGCACGCAGCAGCCTAAACCTCTTTTTTTAAATATATTCGTAGACCTAACAAGCATCTGCAAGCACTCAGTACGGTGACATAATTATTGTTGATAAACACTAAAACCAATATTATCCCCAGTACCAAATCTTGAGGTACGCAAAGTAACTAGAACGAGATGGTATATTTTGCCATTCAAAACAATAGATGGCGGACACAAACGTGTGCTTCGGTCATTATTAATATTCAGCCAGCTGAGCACACGGCTCCACTATGGTGCTAAAGGACAAACGCCGTCATAAAGATCTCAACATTGGAAAGCTAGATTAGCTGGACTTTGCCAGCCGCCAGTCCCACGACAAACGAGTGCTCGCTGCAGATTATTTTTCTTGCCACCAGCAAAACAAGCGTGCGTAGTTCAATGCGGCTCATTTTTACAAGATCGTTGACCCTTCCCAGAAGTCTACTATGTGAGCACCTTTATCCTTATCTATATAATATTCCTCAGTCCTAAGTTTGTTCAGCCATTTAAGTAAGCTAAATCTGAAAGATAGTCCCTGGGTTGTAAAGCGACGTGCAAACTCCCCAAATCTTTAAAGTACCCTAAAATATCATTCCTGGTGAGTCTTTATTATAGCGGATAAAACATAGATGTGAAAAAACTTGAAAAATTGTAAGGGCGACTAGTCTGATGTCCATAGCCACCGCTATTGTTTGGGCGACAACAGGTTGGAAGTGTACCTAGTTGTTTGCTGAGTCGAATGAAAATCTTTTTGTAGACTAGAATTACGCGTTTTACTCAGTGGTGCAAAATATGTACACATAATAAAAGGGGCCTTACTGAAAATGACAAATTGGTTGTACCTACTTGGTAGAAAGTAGGAAAGATACTTCCGATTTATAAGTCAGGGGACGGAAACAAACCATCTAGCTGTAAACTTGTCTAACTAGTACGTGTGTAAGCTTCTGGAAAAGATAATGCTTTTCCATATGAAGAAATATATTGGTGACCATGCATAGTATTATTTTCCCCCCATCAGCACGGTTTCGGTAGATAGTTATCGCGGAGTACTCAGTTAATTCAGCTAGTTCATGAACTTTCGGATATAATCAATGACAGGGGCCAAACAGACTTAATGTTTCTTGACTTTTCGAAAGCGTTCGACCGAGTATCGCACCATAAGCTTTTCTTAAAACGTTCCACTATTTTTTAAAAAAAATCACTTAATTAACTGGATATCGTTCTACCTATTTAATTAAAATGCAGTGTGTATATTTTAAAGGTCACATTTCTACTCCCCTTCCAGTCCCCTTCCAGTAACGTCAAGTGTACGGCAGGGCTCAGTCCGCGGGCCTCTTTAGTTCTTGGTTTTTATCAATGACATTAGTAAAAAGATTCAGAAACCCGTTAGGTTATTTGCAGATTGCGTTATTTATTATGTAGCAAAATCGGCATAGGATCAGGTCACTCTTAACAATGCTTTAATACGGATTGAAGAAGGAACAAATATTTGTCATTTGGAAATATAGTGGGATAAAACGGTAGCAATGATAATAACACGAAAAGAAATCCTTTAAAGTATGGTTATTCAATAAATGCGAACCGCATTAAATTTGTTGGCCACTCTAAATACCTTGGAGTAACCATAAGTAGCAAACATCTTTGGCACAGGCTTGGGCCAGACTGGCGCGAGCAAAAGCCAACTTGGCACAAGCCTGGCACAAGCTTACGCCAGACTGGCCCAAGTATGAGCCGGGGAAGTGTGCTGCTAGGGGAACCAGTACGTAGATGACGTTCTTAAAAAGCAAGAGTAAAACGTTTTACACTTCGATGCACCTTCAAATTTGCTGATTGGGAAACAAAGAAAAACTGCATACCAAACTCTGTTTCGACTTATTCTGCAATATGCTAACACAGTTGGATATCCTTACACTGCGAGTGAAATTAACAACATTGAACGAGGGCAAAAACTGGGTGGGAGATTCCTATTCAATAATATAGGTATAGTGTTTCGACGTCAGGTTTACTGGAGCAAGCTGTCATCCACTCACTGAAGACTAAAGCGAGAATATACAGATTACGTAGAATTACCCAACTTAAAACTCTTTGATAAATGTGTTATTTAATGTTAATAGTGCGACATATATAAAATTTTCAAATACAACATCGTCTAGAATAAATCATACAAGGGCTATTAAAAAATATAATTTTAGGGACGATATGTATCCTCTATTTTTCGGGCAATCAACGATGGAACTCTTTACCCAACGAAGAATTGCAACCCTTCCGTCATTGGGCGTGTTTGGTAATGCAAATACTTCTGCCACGAGTTAGTGTTCTTGAGCGAAATATGTCACTGTTCTTTGTAACCACCCCTGCCTTTGCTCACAGGCGTGATCCACAATATTCTTTATATAAAAAATTTTAAAAAAATATCGCCCGCTGCTTTTAGTCTGGGCTATGTAGGGCTTGCACCATTTTGGAATAATAAAAAAATAGCATTAATAATACATCTATGTATTACTTGTGTATTTATATTTATAGATTAAGAACCCCCTTGGGTGTATACATAAAAGGTGGGTAGCAAAGAAACAAAAAGAAAAATGCCACAAAAGTAAGTACGCTTTCAGAAATAAAAAAAAAACACCAAAATGGTAATTGTAAAAAAAAAAAATTACTACATTATGCGATATTACAAAATAGTTTCTTGAATTCAGTTCTGGGGACGACAGTTCTGTTGTGGGTTTTAATCAATGACAGTAAGTGACAATAGAAGCTCCGCAACGTGACGGTTCTTGCCTTCGGGCGTCTCACATCGAGGTTATAGCGCGTACGATCATGGCGGCGTTCTGAAGAGGCGATATATCATGGCGATAAGCATGTTCTGTAGAAAACAATGTGAAACTGAGGGGGTTTACAAAGATTGTGACGCTCAGAGCCGGAGGAGAGGGGAGGGGAAGGCATTGGCACGGATTCGAAAACAGGTGACGCTGGTGAAAAAATAAAACTACTCGCAAAAAAACAAAAACAAAAACAAAACCGTTATGCCAGACATTTCGAAGTGATTCAGTATTGTTGATAGGGCAGGCTCCATCTGGTTCCCAAAAGGCAAATGCGTATTCCAGTTTCTAAGTGTCAAGAAAATATCAAGCAAGCAGTTTTAGGTATGGTGGGGTGAGTTTCAAGTTGCGCTATAAAAGCCCTAAACAACGATAGCAGAAGAGATGATATGGCTGATATGAAGGACCCAGGAAAGACCAGATGAGGGGTGGACTCTGCGATACTTACAGAAATTTTAACGTAAAACGTTTACAGGCTACTTTTTCAGGTCTCCATCGTGTGCACCCAGGACACCACATTCTTCATTGAATATGGTGAATATGGACTATCTTCATTGAATATGACGTCACATGACCTCGTGCCACGTGAGCTATACACAAATTCATTTTCCCAGACAGATTTAACGGCAAAAGCACGTCACGTGACCTCAAAACAAACAGTTTTTTGCCGCGAAATTTAGCGGCAATAATGATGTCACGTGACTTCATGCCACGTCACCTACACACAAATTTAGTTCCTCCGCTAAATTTAGTGAACAAATTGACGTCAGGTGTCATGACGTCACGTGGCCTATGTGTAAATTCAGATTCCCTGCTAGACTCAACGATAAAATTGACGCCACGTAACCTAAACTTAAATTCAGCTTACGGACTACCCGTCACTTCGTCATTCTGTGGGGAAAGTCAGTGGGTCATTAGGGAGTTTTCGAGGGCCGTTTTTCTACCTCCGCTACGGTGTCCGGACGAAGACGGCACTACTGCGCCTGCGCGGCGCTAGCCTTGTCTGCGGAGTCGCGGTTCAGTAGCGGGTTGGGGTGAACGTTGCGGGAGAGCGGAAACGATATACAAAAACTCACTATTGAGTGTATGGGATGGAAAGGAGTCAATGGGGTGGAAGGGTTTTTATTCGGCCTCCAAAATTACAGATATAAAATTATATTTAAGATTTATGCGCCAAGTAGCCACAATGGCACGTTGAAAATAGGGCTGAAGCCCCTCCCTCCCTTCGAGTTCGGCGCAAGGAGAGAATCATGACGTATTATACAGAGATCTCAACATTCCCGCGCATTCCGCTAGCCTTACCCTAGCAGTCAAAAAAGCTGCACGCGCATGGGCAGCTGAAACCTCTAGGCATAACGTCGCACACAGCGTTTTTTTTTTTTTTTTTTCTCGCGTCGATTGATGCATTTGGGGCAAATGCTTGTGATATTCGTATTCAGATGACAAAAAAATACGGTGAAATTTACCTCTAAGTCATTTTTTAAAGAACCAGTTAAGCCTGCATTAAAATGAGTACGAAGAAATATAACGTTTAGAGCGACAAGTAAAGGAAACGAGCCTGCAATTTTGAGAGTTGAGCGACATCTGTCATTTTTCACACCATGGATTAATAAGGATGAGGTCATCTATTTTGAATGAGTACGTGATGTCCAGTGTTTACTATTGTGAATACTGCACTTCTTAAATATAGTGTTTGGAGCCGCTACTTTGGTTGCATTTCTCGTATTGTTTAGTTATCTCCCTGCATTTCTCATCCTCACTATTGTTTCTCTATTAATACACCAGGGAACTAATTAAGCTAATATTATAGTAGATACATATTTTTTTTCAGAAGAGTTACAACTTTTAACACAGATTTCGAGATATTGCCAAATTAAATTCGCTTACTTTAAAACAAAAGGGTTTAATACAGATATTTTTGTCGTCTTCCAGATACCTGTGACCTTTGCACTGTGGGTGCATTCTTTGTATTGGCCAGGCAAGCATAAAGCGTCCTCTATCAACTCGCATTCCAGAGTTCCTGCCGAAGCCGATGCCTAAATAACATCCCTTCAAATTACTATCACGTTAAAATAGATATTTGCCTTGTTCCGGTTTTGTCGGCAATTTACGTTTACCTTTAAGCCGAATAAAATCGTCTGCCCTGATAGTTTCATCGAGCACTCTTCTTTTCTTCCATTTTAAAATTGTACTAATATAGAGTGCTTAGAGTCTTTGTGCCTTGTGTGGCAGTGATCCGGATACCCTAAAACTGTGCATCAGAAAACGGAAGTGAGGACAGGAAAGACTACATTTCTAGCGCTCTGTTCTATCCCTGAAAGTTTCTCAAACACATGATTGCGAACAAGGAAACTGCAATCGATTTGTTTATTATCCTATTCTATACAAAAAACACACATCTCACACCCACTACTTTAGCTGATGTTACGAGGTTATTGCACTACCTCTCTAGGATGAGGGGAGCTGTAAAATTTGATAACGGAACTCTTTTATGAGCCGTATTTCCCTTTCCACATGTACCGTTTTTCCGTGCCACTTTACATGCAACTTCGCTGCGACTCACCTGCTTTTCTCCAGCGATGCGGAATGGGGGAATGCACAGCTTAACGGCCCCTTGTAGATGGTCCTGCACCTTGAATTACGTGACGTAACTAGGGTAAATATACCGGGAATATTTTTCCACCTAAAATTGGCGGAAAAATTTCCCCGGAAAGAGTAACGGAATTATCGGCAATGTTAGATGCGTGTGACGTCACGTGACATCAGACGTGATGTCATACATCACGTATCTTTTATAATGACGTCACGAAGGTAACTTTGTGACGTTACCCTCGGGGGGGTAACCCTCGTAAATCTCGTGAGGGTAACGCCTGTAACGTCACACGTGACGTCACGTGTGACGTCATTATGGGAAACGTCCCATAGTGCAACACCCGGTTACGCCGACGTCGACGACGACGCGGACGGAGCCGATTAAGCCGAAACGGGCGCCTAAGAGCTGCGCTTTGAAACCTTTCAAATGAATTATTTCACAGAGGTGCGACGTTTTTCCTAGATTATCATATATTAACTTAGCAAAAATGCTTCCCGGTATGCACGGTAGACAGTAATGTTAGACAAAACACTTCGTTTGCACGGCGCGAGCAGCGTGAATGAAACTACTTACCTTCTAAAGTAGCGTATTGTCCAACAAGTCGTGAAGTATAGAATGTTTGGAACAAAGACCGACTGTACAATAGAGCTAGACGCGACATCGACAACACGCTAAATGTCTCGCGAATACCTGGACGTAACTGCACGCAGTTAGCTTGGACTGTGCGCAACACAGCACTGCGCCTAATTGACGAGTGATTGCGAGCTCTCGTACCTTTATTGAGTGACGTCGCAGGTGTCAGCGGCACCCGGACGGGCGGTGGCCAACCGCGTCAGCCATCCCCTCCCTCTTTTGACTGGCCAATTTCACCCCTTGAACGCTGCGCCCGAGGCGGTCACCCCACGCTTTCCTAGTGACGCCACTGCCTTTATTTTAACGGCGTGACAAAACCACAGGTGCAGCAGTCGAGAAATCGATAGAAATCTCGCCCCCTGCAAGACTACACTACTACCGCTACATTGGCATCACTTCTCCTTCCGAATGCTTAACGCAAGACTTAGGCTATTTATATTTAATACTTGAAAATATTTAAAACATTTTCACCAGCCAGAAATTAGGCTAACAGAACCTCACAACCGCTACAAGTCCAGCCACCCATAAAACGAGGACGTCTCCAGTGAAACGACAGGAAAACAGCTAATGTGGTAAAACTTCTTTCTCCTCATGCTTGAACCTGGAACTCTTCCGGCCCCGCTCCTCCACTCATTCGCACTGCCTTGAGTATCCTCGCGCAAAGCAAGTAAAATGACAACTGGAATAAAAAAAAATCCTGATGCGATACCGGCAACTAATGTAAACCAATTAAACAAACCTGGGTATTTTACTTGCCTGTAAGAGGGATTATATGGGCAAATGTTCTTCATTTTTCATTGAACAATGGAAAAGCCTCTCGTAGACTGAGAAATCCTGTTCCTGTAGTTTCATGTCAACATACAAAAGCAAATGTAGAGGTTTTCGGAAATTTAGTTGAAGTACCGTAAATACCGCTGCTACTTCGCAGGTGGTATCAGCAACTACTGAAAACCTACAATTGTAAAATATGGAGGCACATCATCGTGTCCTTCAAAGGCCGACGACCATTTCACGCTTTCCACTTTTCCATCGCTTCCTCCTCTCCATAATTCTTCCATTCCCACAGTTGCCTGTTTCGTCCTTTCCCTTGCCCCTCGTCCCCTACTCCTGCTCCGCTAAGCCCAAAGCGGCTAGACCATCACCTCTAGCCTGGAAAAAAAAAAAAAGAAGATCACGATATAAAATGAAACCCCAACATGATTGACAAGCGGCCTTGAGTCCGTTAGTTACAATGCCGGTGGTGTCAGTGCAGGTTTTTAGTCAGCGCGCCCTGCACTGGTATTTCTTTATATGTCCCCCTTTGAGCCTCGCTGCATGCCTGGGCCTGCCCGGACCCCTCCTTCTTCAAAGTGACCGCTATCGAGCTCTGTCGGTCGCTGCTCGCCTACATCCAGGACCCTCCGGCTCCTTCTATCGGCACGCGGCTTCAAGGCACTCAGCTCTCCACCACTGAGCCCAGACAAAAGACCAAGCCTAAACCTACCGCACATCTATCCTCTGACGCCGTCGCACCAACCGGGCCAACAAATAAAAATTGAGGCCCCCTGTCCCCCGGTCCTGTGCGTTAAACCCTTTCACCGCAGCATTTCCTAATGCAAAAAAAAAAAGGGAAATAAACGTTCCTACCTGCCTACCTACGTTGGAATTTTTCTTTGTTTTTTTCGGGGGGAAAAGGAAGAGGGGGGAGGGGAGGACGTTGCTCAATATGATTGGAAGCTGTCTTTATTTTTTGGTGGTTCTTTTCGTTTTAGAGAGGATATTCGCGACTCCAACTAACTATAGGTGGCGCCACTTATTTTCCAAAATGGCGGTTATAGTGAGGGTCGGAGATGCGTGCCGGCTGTTGAGCCTGCCTAGTGTGTTGGCTTCACTGTGCGACACAAATTATTTCGGGTAATACGAGGAAGCTAGGGTGTTATGAGCGCAGTTCACCACTTTATGCTAAAAACAAGAACGGTGTTTTGCGTAATATTTACGCAGGGACGGGTGTTTTAATTCTGGAGCGAAACCGAAACTGACCTCTATTTTAGATTTAATTTCTCGATATAGGTCTTAATTTCGGATTCTTTCATAACTCAAGATGTGTCTCCCATCGTAATTAGTTTGTTTAAGAAGTTGCTCTCGGAAACTTTATTTTGTAACATACATGTTCGATCCAGGCTGATATTTGTGCGTTCTCGCTGCCTTTTCTCGCTCAGATAATTGTCATGGGAAATGATGAACTGCGAGCCTTTAATGTTTTTTTTTGTGTATTTAGATGAATATTTGGTTTAACATTATTCCCAGCACACGCATAAGAGAATAATTCCAATTTTTACAATATGTCCACGAAACGTACACTCTAAGCCCTGTCCCACTTAGTAAGAGGGACATTTCTTCGATTTTTTCCCACTTAACTTTAAGGGGGGCGACAGACCTCTTAATATTACATGGAGATTCTCCCTCTTAATTAAGTGAGACACCAGCCCTTTTAAAGTAGGCGATACGGCGTCTCCCTTAAATTTGAGGTCAGAGTCTCTTAGTAAGAGGGACATTTTTTAGATATTTTCCCCCTTAAATTTGGAGGGACGGTGGCCCGCTTAAAATGCAGGGGTATAGTCCCCCTTAAGTCGGGGTCACGCTGCTTATACATCATACAAAAAACATTCTGCAGACATGTTCCGGAACGAGTCGCCGCGACATGCGAGCTTCGTACGCCACGAGCAACCAAATCAAGAGGTTGCTTTGTCACGTGGCATACAAAGCACGATTTCGCGGTGACTCGTTCGGGAACATGTCTGCAGAATGTATTTTGTATGATGTATAAGCAGCGTGACCCCGACTTTAGGTTATCTCTTTTATTGTATCGTAGAATTTCTGCTCCTTCATGTTTGGACTGTCAGCTGACATGCTGCACTGCAGTGATGCAGTTCTCGCACTTTCGCTGATATTGTTTAACCAAAGTTATTCTGTGCTGCATAACAGAATTGAAATTTGATCTGTATATGTGTTAAATAAAACAGTAACAATCTTTAAGAGTAAACACGTGTTTTATTTGCCATGACACAAGAAAATATTTTGAAATGTCTTTATCAAAATAGTAATTTTATAACGATGTTCTGGTAGGTTTCACGGATAAAAAAGACGTTAGAACGACGGCAGAAATTGGCGTTTCTTGGAAACAATCACACAAAATATTTCGTGCTGCAAAGTGACTCTTTTTGCCTATCATAAACAGTAACAATACAATCGTGCTGAAAAAAAAAACTTTTTTTTTTTAGCGGATAACACAAAAAGGAAGTACATTCTAAAAAAAGCCCATGCGTCTACTTTGCCGCACAACACTTGAAAAGACAATCACCATAACTCTCGGAGGCAGCTCAGCGAATGCAGATGCCGAAACATATGATTATACCAAAACAATGTGTTGCGACACTAACCACAACTAGTGTGACGTTTTGCATTGCTTAATGTCACAACTCAGACTGGGTTTTTTTGTCTAATCTTATGTCTGGGCATCGTGATTCGATGAGCTGCTTCCGTGAGTTACGGTGATTGACTTAGAGTTACGGTGATTGACTTTCCAAGTGCTGTTCGCAAAAGTAGATTCCTGTGCTTTTTTTTGGAGCGTAGTTACCTACTTCATAGCATTAAAAACGAATTATTCGGCGTCTCTTGTCATCAGCAGAAGCTCGGAATTCCTGTTGTTTTCGAACGGCCATAAGCAATTTTCTGAGCTTCTCCGACATAAAGTGAATCGAAAGATTTTATTTTCAACGAGCAGAATTTAGAGGAGTCCAAGGGTTTGTCCACATGCCACAGGGTAGGAGAGTCC